TTTTATATATATATATATATATATATCATAAGACTACATATGGGATCATTTAAATAATACAATTACATAAAAAGTACAATATTATATATATATATATATATATATATATATATATATATAAAATATGTGACCCTGGACCACAAAACGTCTTGGTTACGTATGGTAACCCTCGTTCCCTAAAGGAGGGACGTCACGTCGGATTACCAACGAATTGGGATCTCGCTTAGAGAGACCAATCTACTTAGAGTGTAAACTAAACGAGCCAATGCGCATTGGCATGTGATTATTGCTTCCAGCTGCTGCTGATCACAGCGTGAGTATAAGTAGGCAGCAGATGCAGTGCATATTCAGGTTTTTGCTGAGGAGCTGAGCCAGTGACCCGGCCGCTCAGCGGTGGTACAGGAGCTGTGATGACGGGACGTGACGTCACGTCGGATGACCGACGAATTGGGATCCCTAACAAAGGGCCACAGGTACTGCCCCTTCCAGTGTCCCGTGGAAGCCACCTGCGCCCCCACTTTTTGGCGTAGGCCAGGGCTTACCACAAGAGGACCAGCTACTGCTGCTATGGCACTACCCACTTAGTACTTTTTTAGTACTTAGGAAAACGTACACGTTCTACTTGGGACAGGGACGTTACGGAAGCTCCAACCTTCCCGAAGGAGGTTTCGGAAGCAAATGCACATATGAACATTTCTTAGGTGCATATGGAAGATTGGAGGTGATTGTAACACTCTTGGAATGGCAGAAGTCTGCCGGGGAAACACAGGCTCGAGGCTATACCGTGGACTTTACACATATGGGATCCACTTAGGTCTCTACATATGGAACCCAGCCCTCTACCAGTTCTCACGGATTCATCGAGAGAGGGCCTGGTGCCGGACACTCCGACACGTCTGGCTGCCGAGGGGACGGAGGAGCTCAACAGGGTCTACTATATGGACTCTCTGGAGTGGTTTTAGCAAGCCAACCCGGAGCCGGGGCCACTTAGTGCTTCTACCCATTTGAGGTGAGAACACCGGAGGATACCGGCTCCACACGAAGGCTATAGAATCTAGTGAACATGTTAGGGGTCGCCCAGCCCGCAGCTCTACAGATATCTGCCAACGAAGTGCCACGAGCCAGCGCCCAGGAGGATGCAACACTTCTAGTTGAGTGAGCTCGCAACCTGAACGTGCAGTGCACACCCTGTGCCTGATAAGCCAGGGTGATGGCATCCACTATCCAGTTGGCCATCCTCTGCTTAGAGACAGCATTCCCCTTCTGCCGGCCTCCGTGACAGACAAAGAGCTGGTCTGAGGTCCTGAAGCTTTGTGTCCGGTCTACGTAGCACCTTAAAGCTCGGACGGGACAGAACAAAGCTAGGGCTGGGTCTGCCTCCTCCGGGGGCAGCGCTTGCAGGCTCACCACCTGATCCCTGAAGGGAGTGGTGGGAACCTTGTGCAAACAGCCGGGCCGGGGCCTCAGAGTTACCTGGGAATCGGCCGGCCCAAACTCTAGGCACGAATCGTCGACTGAAAATGTGTGCAGATCCCCTACCCTCTTGATGGAGGCCAGTGCAAGCAGGAGTAGAGTTTTCATTGACAGAAACTTCAGCTCGACTGTCTGCAAAGGCTCAAATGGGCCCTGCTGTAGTGCTGTGAGCACTAGAGTCAGGTCCCAAGAGGGTATAGAGGGGGGCCGTGGAGGATTTAGCCTTCTCGCCCCCCTAAGGAACCTGATGATCAGGTCATGCTTCCCCAGCGACTTCCCTTCTACGGGGTCGTGGTTAGCAGCGATTGCAGCGACATAGACTTTGAGGGTGGAGGGAGACAGCCCTCGCTCCAACCCTTGCTGCAAAAAAGACAGCATGACTCTGATCGGGCATCTTCGGGGGTCTTCTCGGCGAGAAGAACACCACTCAACGAACAGGTTCCACTTCAAAGCGTAAGCGTGTCTCATAGACGGTGCTCTCGCTGAAGTGATGGTGTCAACTACCTCTTGGGGTAGGTCACCTAGAACCTCCGCGCTCTTCCCGCACGGACCAGACATGAAGTTTCC